ACTTTTCAGTATGATCAGCAAAAAATTCGGGTTCATGTACTAAAATGACAGATGGAGTTAATGTAAGGTTGATGTCCCTTTAAATAAGTATGTAAGCTAAAACATCCGTGAGGGGCAATGTCTTCAACAATCATGTAAAATGTAGACTGAAGGAAAGGGCAGTAAAACCAGGAGAGTCCTAGGGGATGGTAAGAAAGTACCTGAATTTAAGTGAATTGTAAGTTTCTATGATCTGGAAGAACTTGCAGAAAACTACCCAGCTATAGGATTCTCGAGGACAGAGAAAAGTACCTATTATGAACATTCTCACAGATTCTTACCAATCCCTGATTTGATTAGCAAAAGTGCAAAAGCTCACCTGGCATGTAACAGCCAGTGTGTGACAGATTTGGGTCTTCCCAGTTCGGAATTCTCCAAACATCTCTGTGATAGATCCAGTCTCAATTCCACCTACAAGAGCAATAGTAAGGACTTCTTAATACAAGGGTTTACAAACTATGATCACAGAAATGTTCTTGGAGCCCTTTAGAAAGATATTTACGTAAGTTGGAAATCCAATTTCCAACAAGCAGTTATTTGGTAAAAAATTATTATTATTATGTTATCATTATTATTTTGGTTTTTTGGGACAGGGTTTCGTCATGTAGCCCAGGCTGACCTCAAACATGATCCTCCTGTATCAGCCTCCTGAGTGCTGGGATTACAGGCATGTGCCCAGCTCCAATAAAAACTTAATTTGAAATAATTACAAATTTATAGAAAGCTATAAAGAAGGAAATGTGCACTCTTTACCTGGCCTCCCACAACGTCAACATCTTGCACAGTTCATATAGTATCTATATCAGACTGCTGACATTGGTCAGGGTTCGTTCAGACTTCTCCACTTATACATGCATTTATATGTGTGGATATATATAGTTTTGGGACAATTTTATCTAATGTGTACCTTCATGTAACTACCACATTCAAGATTCAGAACTGCCCCAACCCATGTCATTTAAAAGGAAGATTGTAAATATTATCATCCAATATTTACTATACACATCTTATATAGCTGGTGTCGTGCTACGTACTCTTTGAGGCAGGTCTCGTACTCTTTGAGGCAGGTCTCGGTGTTTATAGATCAGGTTGGCCTTGACCTTGTGATCCTACTGCCTTAGCCTCTCAGCTGCTGGGATTACAAGTGTGCACAACCATGCCTAATTATTTATTTATTTATTTATTTATTTTTGTTGAGTGTGATTCTTCAACTCATGCTATTTCACACCCCCAAGAGGGAGAAAAGCTCAATGATTGGTGTTAGGGATTGTACCCAGATGTCCCTCCAAAGCTCACGTGCTTATAGGTGGGGATTTTCGGAGATAATTAGATCATGGGTGTGTAAATATGGATTAAAGGTGTTGATGATAACTAAATTAGCTCACTGATTGATTTAGCATAGTTCTGGGTGTGGAGGAAGGCCCGTGCTGGGTGGGGTGGTATTAACCAGTAGGCTTGTAGCCTGGGTGGAACAAAAAGGAAAGCGGCTCGCTGCTTTGCTGCTTGCTGCCTGTCACACACCACACCTGTTCCTCTTCTACCATGTTGCCCTGCTTGGAGCCAGCTGCTAATGCACTGAGCCTCTACAAAGTGAGCTAAAATAAACCTTTCCTTTTACCTTTATTTCTAATTTTTAAATTTTTTTTGGCACTGGGAATCGAATTCAGGACCTTGCACTTGCCAGATAGGCACTTGTGCCACTGAGCTGTATCCCCAGCCCCTTTTTTACCTTTAGGTGCTGGGTATTTTATTCCAGCAACAGGAAAGTAACTGTGACAATTAGATAAAGAATTCAATCTAACTTTATAAGAATTAAGACAGTTATGCTTCCAATAGTTCAAAAACCTTAATTTTCCTTAAAGTCCGGAAGATTAGTGTCTTACACAATTGGTAGTAGTCACATACAGTGTTTGGGGGATTGGGAGTGCAGCTCAGTGAGAGTGCAAAAGGACCTTTAATACCCAGAACACACACACACACACACACACACACTTTCTCCAATTATCAATTTTTTAATCTTGAGGCATAGTACGTTACAATTATAGTTATTGCTTGAAGCAGAGGGAGCTTATTCTCTGTAGGCAATATTAAATGGAGCTTAAATTATTGAATTTGCAGAAGCTGGGCATGGTGGCACACACTTATAATCCTGGCACTCAGAAGGCTGAGACAGGATTGCCACAAGTTGGAGATCAACCTGGGCTACACAGTGAATTCAAGGCCAGCCTGTACTACACCAAGTGAGACCCTATCTCAAAAAAGCAAAACAAAAAATTAAAAATAAAAAAATTAAAATTAATTTGCAGATAATATTAGCATTTCATAAATCAGGTCTTACCCTGTAGCACTCTTACTCCTTTAGTGTGGATACTCCTCTTACCTCTTAGTCATGCCTAACATGTAAACTTTACCCAAATATTTCAGTTTTGTTCTGTGACCTAAATGTATAGCTGACTAGTTTACCACATGAGATTCAAGGACAACTATACCTTGAAGGAGTTTGTCAAGCTCTTTGGACCCAGTGGTAATCTGTATGATCTCTGATCGCCTTTGGTGGAATTCGGTTGCAGTGGTAAAACCCATTGGAACTAATTTAGCTGCCTCAGTCTGGGGAAAATAAGAAATGTTAAAGCAATAAAACACAGCTTGAGCAACCCTTATCTGAGATGCTTTGGATCAGATTTTTTTTTGAGACAGGGTCTCACTATGTACTTCAGACTAGCCTTGAGCTCACTATATAACCTAGGCTGACCTCAAACTTTTGACGATCCTCATGTCTCAGCCTTCCGAGTGCTGGGATTTCAGTTGTGCAGTACCACACCCTAAATTTAGGAATTGTTGTACAGAATCTACCAGCTGAATATCAATAAGCCAAAAAGCTCCAAAATCTTAACACTTTACTGTCATATTAGTGCTCAAAGAATCTGGAGAAGCTGGGCATGGTGGTGCACACTTGCAATCCCAGCACTTGGCAGGCTGAGGCAGGAGGATCGTTGAGTTTGAGGCCAGCCTGGGCTACAAAATGAGCTCAAGGCCAGCCTGAACTGCATAGTGAGACCCTGTCTCAAAAGAACAAAAACAAAGAAAAATTGGAGCAGTTTGGATTTCAGCATTTTGGATTAGGGATGATCATCTTAAATCAGCAAAACAAGAACCAGGCAAGAGAAAATATCTAATAAAATTAATCCCAGGACCCGGTAGGCTTAGGCAGGAGGATCTGTGAATTTGAGGCTAGCCTGGGCTATATAGTTAGTTCAAGGCCAGCCTGGGAGCCGGGGATGTAGCTCAGTGGCATGGCACCTGCCTCGTAAGCTTAAGGCCTTGGGTTTGGTTCCTGGTACCAAAAAAAAGGCCAGCCTGAACTATATAATAAGACCCTGTCTCAGAAAACACAACAAAACAAAAAAGAACAAAATAAAACAAACCAATAAAAGTCATCATGAAGAATAATTTAACTCAGAGGTTTCATAAAGGTTTTTTTTGGACGTTGCTAGGAATTGAACTCAGGGCTTCATCCATGCTACACAAGATACATTTTTAAATTGCCTTTTCAAATAATATATTCATGTAGTTAAGAGAATTACAGAACAATACAATGTGCCTCACCTAATTTATGACAATGCAATACGTATTTACACCTAATTCCTATTCCATCAACTACAAACTATACACTATATACCCTAACTTTCTACAAGGACATTTACCCTCTCATCTTTTCTTCCTTCATGTTTACTTCCCTTCAATACCAAGTACAAGGGGGGCTGGGGATTTAGCTCAGCGGAACAGCACCTGCCTGACAAGCGCAAGGTTGTGAGTTCTATTCCCCGTACCAAAGAAACAAAAAACAAAAAAAACAAAAACTTTTGCCTATTAGCTGGGCATGGTGGCACATGCCTGTAATCCCAGCACTCGGGAAGTTGAGGCAGGAGGATCGTTGTGAGTTCAAGACCAGCCTGGGCTACAAAGTGAGCTCAAGGCCAGCTTGAACTGCACAGTGAGACCCTGTCTCAAAAGAAAGATTAAAAAAAAAAACAAACAAAAAACCAAGTACAAACAAACAAAACCAAAACCAAAAGTCTCAAGAATATCCACAATCAAATAGTATGGGTTACACACACTAATATATGATAAGACATTAAATAAGTACACCAAATGTTGGATCTATCATCCACTTCACTAAAGTACAAGGCAAAACTAAATGTAATGAAACTATGCAATAATAAAGAATACATTCTTTTTGAAGATTCCTTAGCTTTTGATTTTTTTGTTCAGAAGAAAATTTCTCCAAAACCATAAAGGCAAGCAATATAGGGAAATATAATTTATAGATAATTATTCAGTTTATCCTATGTAAAACTTTAAAGATGAAGCTAAGCTGTGGGTGTAGCCCAGCAGTGCAACATTTGTTTAGCATGGGAGTTACTGATTTAATCCCAATTCCCAATGAGAGTCCTTTTATTGGTGGTACTAGAGATTGCACTTAGGTCCTCACATATGCTAGGTAAGTGATCTATTGCTGAGGTATATCCCCAGCCTTCTTCTTACTATTTTTTACAGTATTGGGAATGAAACCCAGGGTCTTTTTAATGAGCTACATCCCCAGTACTTTTTACTTTTTTGAGGTAGGGTCTCAGTGGCCCAGGCCAGGCTTAAACTTACACTCCTCTTGCCTCAGTCTTCCAGGGTGCTAAGATTACAGGTGTGTATCACTACACTTGACTTTATATTTAAAACTCTGTTTTGAGCCAGTCTCACTAAGTTACCCAGTCTGGACTAGAATTTAGGATTCTCCTTCCTCAGTCTCCCAAGTTGCTGGAATGAATTGGGGATGTAGCTCAGTGGTAGGGGGCTTGCCTACCATAGGCATAGCCTTTAGTTTGACCCCTAGTACCAAAACAAAAACACAAAGAAAACACAAAACCTAAGCAGCTGGAATTACAGGCTCGTGGTACCATGCCCAGTGGAATAAATATATTTCCAGGACATAAGATTGTAACATCTAGAAAAACAAGGTACATATCAGCCTTTGCTGGTGGAAATGCAGACTGGCTATCAGTTTGGCAGCACTTACATCAAATTTCATAACACAACTCTCTAAAGAAAATTTGAATTTATGCAATGAGACACAAATACAAAAAACTGGTGATGCAGTCTTTTAGGAATGGAAAACAGGATGATGAAAGAATGAGGGATAGGAGGAAGACTACCTTTTGCTATATCCCTGTACTATCCTAGGGATATACTAGCCCTACTAATGCCTCCCCAGCTGTACTTACCAGAATTTTATCAGCTTTGGCTTCACTAATTCCCTTTATATTTATTAACTCCTTCTTTGGTGCGTAGGCAACAGCCTCCACAGTGTGGAATCCAGCTTCTTCTAATTTCTTCACATCATTGGCATTTATGCCACATTGCTGTAAGTAAAGAAAACCATGGATATTTTTCTGTGCTTTAAATTTTTATTTATTTATTCACTTGTTTATTTATTTGGAGACAGGGTCTTGCTATGTAGCTTAGGCTGCCCTTAAACTCACTAGGTAGCCTAGGCTGGCCTTGAACTCAGGATGATCTTCCTGCCTCAGACTCCCAAGTGCTGGGATTACATGCATGGTACACCATACCTGGCCAAAATTATGTAAATTTAAACTTCAATTCTCTCATCTAACATAAACACTATGTGATTGACTTACCTCAGAGGTGTTTGATGACTTGTACTACACCCAGAAGCTCTGAGAAGTGCACCCCACACATGAAGTATAGTTTTAAATTAGCACTATCCCATGTACATTAAAGTAGACTCTTGCTGAGTGTGGCAGCACATACCCACAATTCCAACTGTACTACTCAGCAGGCTGAGGAAGCAGGATCCCAAGTTGAAGGCCACTGTGGGCACCTTAGTAGGACTTTGTCTCAAAAATAATTAAAAAGGGCTGGGGATTTAGCTCAGCGGCAAAGCGCCTGCCTAGCAAGCGCAAGGTCGTGAGTTCGGTTCCCGGTACCGGAGAAAAACCAAAAAAA